TATGAGGTGATTGAGGTCTACCAAGTTTTGCTCTGGTAGGATATGGAAAGCACAGGAAGCATGCACCAAAACAGAAAGTCTCTCAGAAAGGTTCCGCATTATGTGCTCAAGAGAAATATGGTTTCTTTACATCTGGTGTTGCCACCTTGCTATTATTTGTGTTTCTGAACTGCCAGACAGCTCATTCATTCTCCCCAGCTTTCACTGAGCTGGGGAGGTACCTTCTACCCCCTCTTCCTGTCAGGACAACAGTTTCTAACATCACTTGCTAGAGCCTGGACTGCCTCGGGGAGGCTCCATTTCTGCAGAGGTGGAGGCAAAGCAGGCAGGTACAGACCATGCAACAACTTCTCAGACAAAAACTTAGGATACAAGCACAATACTATAGATATGCAGTTCTGTGGGACAAGGGCATACCCACAGGCTCAGTGTTGAGGGGGAGGATGGAAGCCAGAATTCAGTCCTTCAAGAATCACCTCTTGAAAGCCCTGTTGTTTTTCTTTTTATGACCCATAGGTTAATATTCTCTGCTGCTCACATTCTGTTGCAACATTTCCAAATAATTATACTCAGAAAATTCTAAAACAGATGTTTTCAGTTGTTTCCTCACTGGCAATCATGCTAGTTAATTAGGGTTGGCTTTAAGGGCTAGCAAAGATAACTATGGCAGACTGAGCATGAGATGCATGGTGCACATCTCCATCGTGTATAGCATTAACAATCATATGTAGCTAAAACATCTTCAGATGTTTTCTCTGCATCTCACAAAAACTAATAACTTAAGCTTCAGAACACCTGTGATGAATATTTGTTTTCCTTCTTGCAGCAGGAGCAACACAGCCATAAAGGCTAAGATTTCTCTGGTCAGCTTTCTAGAAGCAGTCTCAAAGCTTGGTTCACTGGAGCACCACCAACAGCAAGTTTGTTCTGCATCTGATTCAGTCTTATTCGATAGAATTGGCTTTTAAAAATCACTTCTGGAAAGCTCCAGACCTGCTGCTTCTGCCAGCCTCCCTGGTAGCTGTGCCACATGTGCGTGGATGGGCGGAAAACTCCTCTTTGCCTTCCCCAAGCCTATTCATACTCCAGCCCCAAATTATCAGTAGATGGAGGGATAATTCTTGCTTGGTCCTTGGTCTTGACACTGGTCCCATTGTCATCCCACAGGAAGTGGCTGGCAGTTCTTTGGCATCATGTTCCTGACTCCTAGATGTGCCAGGGACACACAGTGACTTTTTGAAGTCATGCAGATATAGCTACTCACAGTTTCCAGCTATGCACTGTTTCAGCCACATCAGTTCCAGCACGCTTTGGTGATGCTTTTATACCTTCATTTCAGTTGAAAGAGTTTGATTCCTCTACCCCAAATGCAGCAAATGGCAAAGACCTGCTCAGCTTGAGCTTCTAAATTGCAGTCCCACCCCATTATTTCTGCATATGACTCATGTTTTGCAAGCGGACCATCAGTATTCAGATGACAAAAACATCCCCATTTGATTTTGAAGTTGCTGATAAATGCATGAGAAAGTATATGAAGAGGAGGCGGTATTCTGTTTTCCAAACATTTCTTGGAACAACTCTTGTTTGGAGTGTCTATTCACACACCAATATGAAGCTATGTTACACTCGGCACAAGGAAGCATAAAAGGTCAGTTTTGCTGATGATGTGAATAATTCTTCCCCCAGTGCAACCTCAAAATTTAACTGACTCATTCATTTGCAGAGAAGAAGCAGATGTTCAGAGTCTTCCAGCTTGGCCTACCCTCTGGAGAAGAAATGTGTGACACGAAGTTCAAGTTTTTCAATTGTCTACATATACACATACATACACATAAGAAAACAGGCACTGCTTCTTGAACAAATCCCTCAAAAGAAAAGTAATTCCTTCTTTTAGGCACTTCAGCTCAGCGATAATGGCCATTCCAAGAATTAACGCTCTTAGAAACCAGCTCTACCTAGAGCACAGAGAAACTACCAGACCTATTTCCCCACACATAGCAGGCTGCACACACAACTTAGATTCACACAGCATATCTTTCCAAGACACAAAACTTACTCACATGCTGAGAAAAAAACCACTTGAAATGTCATGTTGCCGCATTTGCTGGTGACACTGATCATACAATATTGTAATATAAAATACTTGACTGTTTTTGCTTGTCCTACTTGCTCTGGCGGAAGATGACCAGTAGTTGGCCCTCTAAGACTTTAGTGAAGTGTGTGGAGCCGCCTCTGCCGGAGCAAAGGGACTCCCCAGGCTTTGGAAGATGATGCAGATAATGTCACCATGATTCCTGTTCACTGAATGAAGTCTGTTTTGCTTAGATCAGTGCAATTGTTTATATTTTTATGTCCTGAAATATCACCCCACTGATTATACTGGATGGTCAGTTTGAAAGCTGAAATGATCCCCATCTCATAAGAATGTGGAAGTCAAGCAACTAGATGCAAATTAAGATATGTCCATGTGTGGGTTTTGAAAACACAGTCATTTTGGAACGTAAGTTTCTATGTGGTCACTGTTAACCCCAGTTAACTGGGATAGCATCAGAATTTAGTTTTAATTTAGTTTAGTTCAGCTTGTTAGAAAAAGGTTGCTAGTTCAGGGTTTGGGTTTTTTTTTTTGCTATTAAGTACTAGAGCTGGGGGATTTGAATGTTTACAGAGAGCTGAATATATGACAAATAATGATTTTTTCAGAAACTCCCAAATGGAGATGGAAGTTACAAAATGCTTCCTTGAAGCTAATAATCCCTTGTAATTCAAGTGCTGACTGGGCTGGTTTTGTAAAATAAGCATTTCTTTAAAAAAACTGTTGCATGCTTAAAATGCCTGCAGTCAAGAGGAGGACAGAAAGAAGCTAAAGGATCACTTAAAAAATACCAAATTATAAACAAACAGCTTAAAAGGTTAAGAAATAAATCAGATCCTGAGATTAAATAAATCAGAGCTATGCAAATTTGCAGCAGAAGGTCTGGCTGAAAAGTTTCATATTAATTTTTTAAAAATAAAATCATTCAAATCCAGGAATCTTTCTAAGATTTCTTCTTGTACCACTGAGGCTTTGGTAAGTGCTTCACTTGAAGTAACTTTGAGTGATGTCATTGGAGATGCATCAGTTTACCCCAGCTGTGCCTCAGGAAGCAGAAGATGGGAAGTAATACCCCGTACAGTACAGACAGAGACAAGAGAAATGTTCGATTCTACACCTGGTTGCAATAGATGCAATCAGTCCTGAGTTCTGTATGGCTGGCTTCTCTGCTCATCACCCACCACTTAGAAAATTCCTGTGTTGTCAAAAATTGGGGACTGGGAGGCAAAATGACACAAGCATCATGAGAAATTGCTGTGTGCTCGCAAAGCCAGCATTGGAGAACATTACCAAACACCAAACATTCAGTGATTGCTGTTGGCTTTGCCAATGAAATTCATACTCATCTCTTCCCTGACTCAGAGAAACTTTTTATTGCAGCAAGCATTAGATATTGAGCACTGCCACCAGAGACAGTACGCAGAGTTAGACAGACTAGTGATCTACTCAAAAGCAAACCCCTGATTTTTTTATCAAAACCCTTTTAACCAAAGTACATATCATGTTTGTTCTATTCTTTTGCCTGCTATATTCCATTTTCTCTTAAAAGAAAATACAGTTATTATTCGAGTATTTTTTAAGGTAAGTGACAGGAAGAAAATTTCACAGGGATGAAGAGCCAGAGTGGTGATGGTTGCTATGTATGTGCTAAGCAGAGGGTGTGAAATGGCAGAAGGAACGTCCGTCCACCAGCTCTGGGCTGCTCCATGTGGCTGTGGTGCTGGACATGACACCCCCACAGCCTAACCAGTCACCTAGAGAATGAAAACACCATTCCCCTACCTTGTGTCAAGTACGCAAGGATGCATAATGTGATGCTTTGAGGGAATAGCAACAGCTACACTTCCTAAAAGGTGTTCAGAGAGGCAATAAGTCTTCTCAAACTCTTGCCAGAGGGGCCCGGTGGCTCAGACATTAGGGCACAATAATGATCTCCAGGCATGATTTTCCCCAAATCCAGAGTACATTCTTTACATGTAGCACATCAGGACAAGGTAATAACTTCAAGCTTATCCAGCAAATTGGAGCATAAAAAATGGATGAATGACATAAAGTTTATTTTTAGTTTGGATTCTCCCCATTCTATTTAGAGCATGAAGCCCAGAGGCAACAAACGAAAAAACAAGTCACATGAAAATGAGTTTTGCATTAATAGCTAGGTGAGCCAGTGGAGCACACTATAAAGCAGCAACGAGGGAGGTTTGGGGAGCTACAGCTCACCCAGGTGGCACCATAGCCACACTTAGATGAATGCTCAGTGTAAGCACACTTTCTAACCATGTTTTCTAAGGCAGGCGCCCAGGTATGAGCTAACAGATTGCTTGGAAAAAACATGTACAAGTCTTGAGGCAATTAAAGTTAGGAGTGGGCAATGATACCAAACCTTTGTTGCTTCTCACGAGCCCACCCAAATTTCTGTTTCACCCCATTTAGCTCTAATGTTTAGCTCTAATTGGTCATTTTTCCTTTGGTCAGAAACCTCAAGCAGACTCAAACTGATACCCATTCTTCCCTGGCTGTCATGTCAACAGGTCAAATGCTATTTCAAACAAGGGAAAAATGGGCAGAGCAAACCTGAAAGAAACTCACCAGTCAGAAAAAAAAAATAGTAGAGAAATCTGTTCCTTAGCTCTGAGCAAGTGTCAGAGATCGGGCGTTTTCACAGTGGTATACCAACAGTTACATGATGTGATGATTCTTGTGAACATAATATGCTTCGGTAACTACGCTAACATAGCGGTAGCTGTAAAAGACATGATCATCTAAGGCATTGCCCAGTACAGCAAGATACAAGCAGTCAAAAACGTCACAGGCATGTCCCAGTACAAAGCTGGAGCCAAGCTTTACTTGTGTTTCATTTGCTGTGGGATATGGGATGTGTAGGCAGTGATGAAGATGGAGCAAGTGCTCATTTACAGCAGAAGAACTTCACATTGTTGAGTGCTGTGTCATCCTGAAGCCCCTGTGGGGGCTCTACCTTGGTCTGGAGACCGCATAAATTGCAGCTTTTGCTCCATGGGCCAAATCTACCCCACGATAGTCCATCACCTGCTAGCACAGTTTTATCTGAGCATCTGAACCAGATGTTGTTGGCTGCTGTGTCATCACCTCCTCCTTGGGACTCCTCTGTTCTCAGTGAGAAGGAGATCAAGTAGCCTCCAGGGCAAACTTGGAAGCTGGTCCAGGTACCCCACCTGACAAAAAGCAGACAGAGGAATGTCTGGGCTCTGCCAGCTGCGGGGAAATGCTCCTTCTCCTTGTCATGCTGCCCTGAAGCTTAACACTTCTTTGCTCACAGCAATGACCAGCACAACATCCTGCTGCAGTCTGGGGCCCCTTACTTTCTCCTTTTTTTTTTTTTCCCTTCTCTTCCAGGGGTGTACTTTTCTCTTTATTGGTATCTCATCAGAAAAACACCAGGAAGTCTGAGATTGGATAGTTATGGTTCTAACGGAAACTCCACGGACAGCCTGCGCACATGCATCCCTGACCTGTCTGACCGGTACACACCAGGCAGCGGGGAGAGCAGACACTCTGCCGTCCAGAGGTGCAGTGCTGTTCACTGCAGCAGGGCAAGGGCTTCACCCAAACAGTTTCTAAATCTATGGTTAAAAAACCCTTTTCTCACATTTGCCCCATGTGTTGCAGATTTCCAAAGATGGACTCTATCCCTAGGACTATACTTCAGATGTTTACAGTGCTCTGCAGAAATTTCAAGAGCAAACAGAAGGCGGTAATGTGAAGTAACCATGTTTAATTACCCTAAAAATGAATGAACAAAACGCCCAACCACCTGTTTTAATTTACTTTATACTACAGCACTATGCAGACAAAGCAAGTCAGAGAAGAGACCCCTGCAAATGGCATATGCCATTCAGAGCTGTGTCATCTCTTCCAAACTGGGAGGGCTCCACCTGCAGCAGAAGTCACACAGGGACAGAGGGCAAGGGGGGAGAAGACCCAGGAAAAGTCCTTTAAGTGCCAGTCATAAACAATCCCAACTCCTTTCTGTAACAAGAAAGAGAAAATGTCTTGGGAAGCACATGGGAAAAGATGTCTGTCACTGGGAAACTGCAACGTACCTACATAACCATTCTAACATGTTGTGCTTTGTGTTTTCTAACTGTTTCTGACCCAACACGTAAGGCAGAGACTCTGAGTCCCAGGAGACACACTGGAGGATGCTGCCTCTCTCCCTGACTCCAGCAGCAGATGTTGGCACTGACATGGCTTCTCCCAGCAACATCAGGCACATGCAGACCGTGCATCTGCCAGCACACCTCGATCCATATTGGAAGCAAAACAATTCTGGCAGTAGCTCTGTTTTTGCTGTATCTAATGGGAGACCTCTTGCCCTAAAAGAAAAAAAAAAAATTGTATTTTTCTTTACTGGTGTAACTTCAGTGGCAACATTTTCTAGGCTAAATTTTCCAGAAGACTCATATTTTTATGTATAGAGTACCATACTCAGGAAGAGGAAAAACTCTGCAGAAAGTCCTTGGACTCTGAAGAAGACCCTCCTGGGAGGTGGAGAGCTGTAGACCAGGGTGCAGGGACAGAAGATGGTGGGAAATAGGGAGAATTTTACCTTCAGTGCAAATCCATTGGCGTAGCCATAGCGGCAAAATTGCCTCCTCCCCCACTTGCCCCAGTGACCTCCATTGGGCACAGTGAGGACAGAAGCGTATTCACATGTCCCTGTGCCCAGGGTGCAGAGGGAGAGGATCAGCATGAGGGTAACTGGCATGAGGAGCTTCATCTCTTGCACTCTGCATCTGCTGAAGGAGAGCTGGTATATGGACAGTGGAATTTATACCCTGCCGAGGCAGCTTGCCTTTCCCCACCAGTCCACTGACAAACACCATAGGAACAATAGTTTCCACCCAGGCAGTGACACAGCACCGGCTGACCTGCTCACAGTGCCCATGAGGAGCTCCCCTGGGAGTTCAACAGCCAACATGCAGCAGCTGCTGTGGCTACAGGTGTATCCACCATCACTGGAGGGCTACACCAAGACCAATGTGCTCCTTGCTGTGCTCATGGCAGAGGCTTAATATCAGTTCCTGCTTCTGGCTATGCAGATACTTGGCCATGGGGATGTTTGCCTTTTGAGAGAAACTGTCATAACCGTTTTAGTTATTGCTGGATGTCTGGCAAGACAGGTCAAACTGTACAAAGAAACATGAGGGACCTGGTCTGGAACAAAGTATAAGTAAACTCAAGCTGTGTGTCTCCCAACACCCTCTGTTGAATAGAATTCTGGTAAGCTTGACATATGTGTAGGTTATTTGTGGTTTCAATGTCTTTTTTTTCACTGTTATTTTTATCTCAATAAAAAACATTGTGTTCTGCTTTGTGACAAGCTTAACTGAAGTCAGACATGCCAGGATGCCCACAGTGATTCTCAGGGATCACGGAGATAAATGCCATTGGGAGGGAAGGCGGAAGGCAAGTTTTCCAGAAAGGTGACACTGAACTTGAGTTCACAGTCTTTGAGGATGCCACCATGCAGGGAGAGGTGAATTTGAAACCCAGGAGCTGAGACTCTCTTAACATACAGATAACCAACAGTCCCTAGGGCCCTTAGTCAGGCTTGCAGGATCTGGCAAGCTGTTTCTCTGTTCAGAAGGCAAAGAGGAGAATATATTTTAGGAAAGTATCTTGAGCCTCAGGACTTTACAGCAAGATGGGGTGCCAAACCTTGATCTATCAGAAGATAAAGATTTTCCCTCTTCTAGGTTTCTCTTCCAATCTCTGCTCTGCTCCCTCTGTTCCTGTCCCATTAAGAGGCGACGTTGCCTTTCCCACCCTTGGCTCTGTACTCCCCATCCGCTTGTCGGTGCTCTGTACAGGTGGCAATATCTGCAAATGGAGATGATGGGAAGCTGGACGAGCCTTTCAGCGGAAAGCACCAAAAAAGCACATGATGGAAGCACAGCCTGTTTTCCTTTTTAAACCAGAACTTTCGCTTTCCTTCTCCAAGGGGGTGTCAAAGCCCAGGGAAAACATGCTTTCCCCTACAAGGACCGTGCAATCACAGCTGGCGAGCCAGGTGTGTTTGCTCAGGCAGGGTCACACGGTGGCAGCCGGGGATACCCAGACCTGCCCTTGGCTACACATGAATGGAAAGAGGAGCAGAAGGAGTCAGAAACAAAAGCTGGGACCTGGTGTTAACACCGCAAAAGAAGAAGCAGGATCCCCACATTCATTTCTCCTTTGCTGGCCAGAAACCATCGCCCTTGGCTGCTTCACCTCTGGCAGCAGTGATGCAGATCCACAGCCTGGCAGGACCCACCTCCCCTCAGACTCCGCTCCCATCAGGAGATTCCCATCTCTTCCCAGCCCCAGAGGGAGGATCTCAGGTCACAGCAAGCCCACAGTGTGACAGGGGAGGGGGGTGAGGCAGGAGAGCAGTGGAGCCACCTTCAAGGATTTCACCATGAGAAATGACTCCTACGCGCACTTCAGAGGCCCCTAAGAAAACTCAAGCCCAGGATGAGCGCTATCACTCTGGGGCTGGGGAAGTATGATTTTCCCCATTCATAACCAAAGAAACTACCTGGTAAGCTGGGATACCAAATGTGAGATGCCTTGGACTTGATTTCAGAGTACATGGCTTACATACATAGCACTTAATATGTACAAAGCAGAGCTGCTAGTGATTTTTGTTACCATGTAATGGTGCTAATTTTGTTTGGATGCCTTGAAAAGTTTTCTACTATCAGCTTACCTAAAATATCAAAATAAAAAACTCTACAATGGTGAGATCTGGACCTCTTACTGACATATGTACCCTACTTTCTCACTCTCCCTCCTGTATTTTAATATCCTTGAAATAATGTCAGAATACAGTTTTAAAGAAAATTGGCAAACTGATGAATTTGATTAATAAAACATGACTACAGTAAAATGATTATGATACAGGGTATTTCATCCTTTCATTATTCATCCAGCTGAATACAATTGTTTTTGAAAGCAGAGGAGCATAAAAATTATGCCACTACTTTTCAGCTTTTATAAATACTTCTAAAATTTTGAAATAGACAGATTAATATAATATTAAGTAGTATATTAATTTTATAAAATTATTATTTTGATGCTATGACATATTTAAAATCTATATAGAACATGGAAAATAAATTTATATCTATAACATATAAAAATATATACCATACACAGTTTGCTTTATTTTATGTTATTGAAAAAATGATACATTAGCATGAAATTGAAAATTAATTAATTTCTGATTTTTACCCTTGAAAATACCACACACTTAGGGATAAAAACTTTATTTGGCACTGTTGTGTGTTGCCTTTCTCATATTCTCAGTTTCTCATATTCATGTGTGTCTTCTGTTGCCCCATGACAATGATCACTTGAGAGGCTTCCCAGCCTCTTCCTACAGCTTTTGAAAAGCACGGCAAGAGACTGTGAAGTCATGCAAGACCACACCTGCTTCAATTTTCTCACTCTCATTTCAGTCTCCAGTGGCTCTGCTCTCCATTCACAGCTCACGTACCTCCATCCTGCATCTGATGGTCTGGCAGGAGCTCTGCAAGCCTGTGGAGATCCTGGCATATTTCAGCATGGTACTCTTTGTCTGTGTTCTGTAGAAGGTCATGCACTAGGGTCATTTCTGGTTTTTTAATTCTTTAAAATTGTAAGGATTGGGCATTTTTAAAACCTAGTAAATAATATTATTTCTGTGGCAGGAAAAGAAAATCAGTTCCTATCACCTTCTCTACTATGTGTTTTGTAGAATTCCCTGCAAAAGATTAAATATATTAATTTAGAAAAAGTTTGAAGTTTCTTTTATCAACAAGACATATAGAAATAGAAATGAGCATTGCATTGTAACTTCCAGCTATTTATATTACCCTCTGTCTTGAACATTCTTGCTCCCTTCTTTGCAGGATCCAGCTCACACCACAAGTTTCCATGAGCAGGGAGGGGTCTAGTATGATGGTTTGCCAAGGGACAGAAATAAAGGACAAACATTGTACACTGATGTCCATAACTCAGAAACACACTTGAATCAGCTGGTCAGATACGAGCAACAACTTCTCGTTCCAGTCTGTGGAATTGAAAAAAAGGTTTCCTCTAACATGAAATCTTCTTTGTGTGCTAAAAGGAGAGAATTTGCATCTTAGATTGAGGTCCAGGGACTACATCTGCTCATAGATCATCTGTTAAGCTGCCAGCAGGTCCTCTGAGCTGGGGAGGTGAAAGCAACGTCTTGTGAATTAATTTTCTCTGCAAGTGAATAAAACCTGGAGGAAACTCAGGTGGATTGAAAACTGACTGAACATCTGGACCCAGAAAGTGGTGATCAGTGGAATGAAGTCTAGTTGGAGGCCAGTAACTAGCGATGTACCCCAGGGGTCAAAACTGGGTCCAGTCCCTTTTAACGTCTTCATTAATGATCTGGATGATGGGGCAGAGTGTAAACTCAGCAAGTTTGCTGACAACACAAAACTGGGAGGAATGGCTGAATGCCAGGCGGTCATGCTGCCATCCCGGGGTACCTGGACAGGCTGGAGAAATGGGCCAACAGGAACCTCATGAAATTCAGCAGGGAGCAGTGCAAAGTCCTGCACCTGGGGAATAACGACCCCATGTACCAACACATGCTAGGGGACAGCCAGCTGGAAAGCAGCTTTACAGGAAAGGACCTGGGGGTCCTGGTGGACACCAGGTTGAACATGAGCCAGTAATGTGCCCTTGTGGCCAAGAAGGCAAATGGAATCCTGGGCTGCATCAGTCAGAGCATTGCCAGCAGGTCGAGGGAAGTGATCCTTCCCCTTTATTCAGCACTGGTGAGACCACACCTGGAGTACTGTGTCCAGTTCTGGGCTCCTCAGTACAAAAGAGACATAGACTTGGTGGACAGAGTCCAATGAAAGGCCACAAAGATGATTAAGAGACTGGAACATGTTTCCTATGAGAAAAGCCCAGGAGAGCAGGGACTGTTTAGCCTGGAGAAGAGGAGGCTCAGAGAGGATCTTATCAATGTCTATAAATACCTGAAGGGAAGGTGCAAAGAGGACAGAGCCACACTTTTTTCAGTGGTGCCCAGGGACAGGACCAGAGGCAATGGGCACAAACTGAAACACAGGAGGTTCCCTCTGACCATCAAGAAACATTTATTTGCAGTGAGGATGACTGAGCACTCTCACAGGTTCCCAGGGAGGTTGTGGAGTCTCCATCCTCAGAGATATTCAAAAGCCATCTGGACATGGTCCTGAACAACTGGCTCTAGGTGACCCTGCTTGAGCAGGTGGTTGGACCAGATGATCTCCAGAGGTCCCTTCAACCTCAACGATTCTCTGACTCTGTGATTCTGTGAACTGTAAGAGAGAAGTCAACAGGAACAACAAGTCAGGATAAATGTCCATGAAGATAATCTCAGTGATGTGTTTTGAGTGAGTTGTAGGAAGGGTTGAAGGCAACAAGTGCCCAGGAACTCAGTAGAGGAGTGGAGGTGGAGAACATCCACCAAATAAGAAGTCAGTAAGTACAGAGGGATGATTTTGGCTGAATGACTGTGTGTTTCTGTGTGCTCCAGGCTGTTTTATATTCCTTCCACTCAGTTATCAAGGTACTGGTTGCCACCCATCAGCTCTCATTAACCATGTCCCTCAGCAGTTTTGATGTCCAAACTGGCCATTACAATTAGGTATAAATCAGGTGTAAATCACAGAGCCTGACTCTGTCAAACCTCCCTCACCTGCAGCTTGGGATGAAGATGAGACACTCCAC